GGGGGGGGCTACAGCCCAGCCCCCCCCTATATCCGTCTCTCTTGAATGTAAAAATAACTGTCATCGTATTCTGGAATTGAGGATCAACGAAAAGCTAGTTGAAGCATTGAAATCTCCATGCCTTCACATAAATGAAGCTAGAATTTTAAGAAATTTAGGTGCCTATAGTGGAAAACATTGCTTCAAAAAAGGGACTCCTAGTGCAGGACCTGCAGCAAGTTTTTTCATTGACGACCTGCTTTAACACGAGCTTAAAAACAAAAAGAGAGTATTTCTAACTTTTTCTCATTGCAAAATCCTTGAATCTATCATGAATGAAGAAAAAATATTGCTTGAAGCAATGTAGGTCTTGCAGCATGTATTTTTCAAGTTTATGACATCTTAAGAAGACAGCAAGATTAAGAGAGCTCTATATCCAGAATCTGATCTGGCTCACAAAATTGTAAGGGTTCTAGTTCTTATGAAGTATCAGTACTTCTCAATTAAAGTTCCAAACATCAGAAGGTATACAATTGGGTCAGCAATTGTTGAGGTTATCCCATATCAGTTCTAGAAGGAGCTGGTGATTAGTTTGTAGCTGTGGGGGAAAGCCTCATTTCTTGAGCATTTTCGGGGTTGAGAAGGTCCAAGACCACCCAACAGTAATTTAGGAGATCAACTTGAGTAACTTGCACATTTCATTATGAATAAAGATGATCGATCACAATTCTGGATGAACAAATATTGACTCTGTTTATAGATAGAAAGAATTAGAACAGTTAGCTGTGATTTCAAGAATGTGCCTGGAAAATACGATCTTTGGCCTCAATCCATGTTGATGTGAGTGGGGAGTTGAACTTGTTTGCCCCCCTCTGCAATGACTCTAATTATATCCTCCATATGTTAAGTTGTAGAGCCTAATTATTGTTACTTAACGGGACTGGTTGTGGATTGACTTTCGTGGTGAGGTTGCCATGGGGGTTGGAAGGGGAGTAGGCAGCCCCCCTCCTGAGGGGTAGGAAGTGGAACCTTCAGATGAAAATTTTAGTTAAGGACTATTTAGAAATTTCTATTCTTGTAAAAATCTAAGAAGAAATAGGAGTCTTTGTAAAATTCGATTTTGCACTAATTTATCTTGTAAATGGGGAGCACTCCTTAGATTTAAGTATTATATAACAGATAGAGAGAAATAGAGGTTAGAGGAGATAAGATTGATATTTTCTTTTTAAACATTTTTTCATCATAGTAATTATTATAATGGTGGGAGAGAACATAGTCTCACATTGAGATGAACATTAATAAATGTTGTGTGTTCTTGATTGTTTATTTTCTCTTTAAATGATTGCTCTTGGTATATAGAATTAGGGTTTATAATTCTTAACAACATAGGCACTTGTGCACCTTCCCCTAACAAGCAAGTTTTTAGGGGTGAATTGTGCTCAATGCATTTGTTACAATAGGTATAATAGCAGATATCCCTTCTTAATAGACCCCCTTTGCAGATGGGGCTATCTGGGGAGGCTACTTTCACAAGGCCACCAATTCACCCACGTAAACAAAAATAAGGAATATTGTTCCAGGCTTATCCATTCCAAGAATCCCAGTACTTCGTGCTTTAACTGCTGAATCTTTATGCCAGACGGGACAAAAAGACTTGCAGATCTTCTGTAGTCCCACTTAATATACATATTTTGTTGGTCTAATTCAATAAAAATACGACTAATTTGAATTGAATTTTCAGAGACTAGTAACTAATATTTTTCTTTCATATGATTTGACCAAAAGAATTCAGTTTATGTATTGTCAGACCAGAAGGACTAGTGAGGCGTTTGAGATTGAGCAGGTGTTACTCTTTTGTATTGTCAGACCAGAAGGTAATCTCTTTCCAGCTTTTAAAATTTGATTAGTCAGTTAACATGTGCGTACTTGACTATATTTTCACCTGATTATGAGCCACAAAACGAAGGTTTTATCACTGGTAAACTCAAGAGCTAAAAAACAAATAGTGAACTCCATTATCTAATTTCATCAAACAAGCATCCAATTTTGAATTTGCATATACAAATGAATCACATGTTCTAAACCAGGAAGACCCTGAAATAATTTCGTGTGAATTCAACAAGAAAATTATGGCACGATTGACAACTAAATCTATTCATCAACTGTACATAACCGAAAAGAATCTCCCTTACATAGTTACAACAAATGACAATAATCCTCCTGGTAGAAGGCCCTTCTATCACAACAGGTGCAAACGTATAATCTTCCTAGTCGAACGCGAATAACCCAATTAGCACTCTTATCGAACTGCTAACAGCAGCATAAAATTGGGTTTAAGAATACCCTTTTTAGATATACTTCCTTGTCTTCCATGATACTTCATAATTATCTATTTTTAAAGAAGTTCAGATCCCAACGACGAAACAAACCGCCAATAATATTAGTTGTAGGAGTTTTCACAACATTTACAGTGACCCTCGTGTTATCAGCCATGTCTGTATCAGATGAACTTTGGTTACCCAGTGGAGTATTATAGGCAGGAGAAACAGCGTCATTCCTTTCTGCTTCGTTGGAACACAGAGTAGCATCAACAATTTTAGGGTTATTTACTGCAGCTACATAGGCCTTTGGAATATTCGCATTGTCTTCCGGTGTACTACGGTCGCACGTTGAAATGTCGCCACAAGGTCTGTTAATTCCTGCTTCTGAAAGAAGTATCAATTCAGAATCAGTGGCTGCTGAAGTGGGCACGGTTTTTAAGGCTGCCGCCGGTGTAGAAAAAGAATATTTTTGTTCACGTGTTGGTTCAGGGAGGTTACTGCCAACATGAGAAGATGGTTCCTCGACGTGAGGGTGTCCCGTCTCCAGGTCTTTCAGCGACTCCATTACAGCTTTCGTGAACATCTGAAAAATTCAGCAAACTTAAAGGTCAGGAAAATAGTCCTTCGTTTTAATTAGAAAACATGTGAATCTCTGAGGTTTTATCCCAAGAAATACTCACCCTCTCTTCTTCCTCGACATTGCTCGGGAATTCAGCCAAGTTATCGAGAGGGTATTCCACATATTCATCATCATCTATTGATGCAGGCAGAGTACCATGTGGACTACCGCCCAATAATTCAAAGCTGATCATATTAGAAGACGATGCAAGAGAATCAGATCCGGTATCTTCTTCCTACAGCGCACAGACTATCTTAGAAAGACTTAACAGACAAACATTTATTTTCCTTAAAAAGCTGAAAAGAAAAGGGCCAAAAAAAAAAAAAACCAAAAAAAAAAAAAAAAAAAAAAAAAAAAAAAAAAAAAAAAAAAAAACAAGAAAAAAAAAGAAGATCCACAAGCAAAGGTTGAAGTAGAGGCATGTACTTCACGCTGCTGCATCCCAGTTATTCAAAGACTAAATTACACTTTTCTTCCAAATAATTTAATTTATTTTATATCCATTGTCTAGAGGAATCTCTTTACTAGCCTTTTGACATTCTCAGCTTGAATTTAGACAGCTAAACAAATAAGAACGGAAAAGTTAGATTATGAGCTTATAAATGCAGTTCTCTCAACTACTAAACTCTGAATTGTCAAGAGACTACGGCATTATCTTTTCACGAGGAACTTCAGGTATTTACACAAATTGGCCCAATTTAAGGGTAATTTGAGACAAAGATTATTTAAAAAAGTCATCCAATCAAACTTGCATATTTAAAGGGTGGAAGTATATGGAAGGGAAGTTGATATAAAACATGCCCGGAACTTTTGGGTAAACTTTTAGAAGCTACCTGCCCATCTGATTGTTTATCTTTGGATGACATCTCTGCAGGGACCTGTATAGTACCAACAAAACAACGATCAATCATCAAATTCCAACGTGAAACTGCATTGATTTTATAGATGCATAAATAACCAGTAAGTTAGTGATATCCTTGAAAATGGAAGGAAAATCAAGGGTTCTTCTATGAAAGATTAACTGGCTAACAGTGACCGGAGTGTGTTGCATAACACAAGAGCGGACCGTGTATACATTTACAATATTAAACACTTATTTTCCAATACACAGTGCTCCTGGTATCAGGTAATAAACAATAACTTGATCATCACAGAAAATAAAGTATATTTTACCACTATTTTACTCATAGGTCTTCTGGAGCGAACTTGGTTAATAGCATCTTCAGTCGTACTACCAGCTTGATCTGCATGTAATTAAAAACATTAGCAAGTGACTTCCTCAAGAAAGGATACAATAGAAAACATCTCTCAGTATAAGCAAACAAAGTAAGAAATAGATACCAGAAGGGGAAGCCAAGACATCATCCAAATATTTTGTATCATGGACAGTAGCCCAAGAACCCTGGATGTGGTCAATCAATAATAAATTTTGTATAGTAGTCAGAGATCTGGCTATTGCTTTAGGAGTGAAAAGCCATAATGTCATTATAATAAGATACCTTGCCGTAATAATCATGAGACAAGTCAAAAAATGCAGTCCCTCTTTCATCCTCTGGAGGTTGTAATACATTGTTGAAAAAGATACTGATAGAATCAAAATAAAATTGTGGGCGTGGAGAGTTGTGATCACCCTCGAACTTTATAATATTCTTGTCCCCCTGCAAGATTAGGCGTCTATAAATACAAGGAAAATAATACATTCAACAGAAAGAACACAGATACTGATTCATCACTGCAAATAGATATTTCATATACCTATGTAGTCAATGTTTCATATACCTTTCAAAAGGTAAGCAAAGAAGCATCTCATATTAGAAAGCAATTTTGGACTCAAACTGAAAATGATATCCATATTTGAAAAATGGAAAAATTATTGAAAAATCTGTTTTTCTGAGTGATTTCCAAATTTTAAGGAAAAAAATGAGAAGAAAAAGAACGAATATTGCATGATTCTAATTCCAATAAGTTCATCTAACTTGGATAGAATCAATTTGATTGTGGAAAAGACCAAATTCCTGGTGTGGAGGACCTGTACATGACGCAAAATTTAATAACAATAAGCAGTACAGCACAAAATGCACGCAACAAATGAAAATGCCCGAACATTTTTGCGAAGGATGGTATATATTGCAGAGAAACACAATACAGGGGAAAAATATATCCATAAACAATAATTTAGGCAGGGTGAAAGATCCACAACTGGGAAATAGGATTACCACATAAGCATAAAATATGCGATCAGAATGATGGGGCTGAATGAAATCATCGTCAACGGCATGACCAAACAAAACTGGAACAAAGGAACATTTTGCAACCTAGACAGAAAAAAGTGATGTACTCAACGTTATTAATAGAAACTATACCATGTATCGTGCAGTATGGATGGATAACAAGTTTCACATCTAGATGTTTAAATAATAAATACATATTTCTCTGATGGATGGATCATACTTTTATCATCAAAACTAATTTGCCTCATCACTTCCATCCTTCTTTAGTAAGTCAAATCATCCTCAGTAACAAGAAACAGGGAATATAATTTTAGCTGTTTATATATGTGTATGCACATGCCGATGCAGAGGAAGCAGTTTAGAATCATAAAAAATGGTATTCTAATAATTCCTTCGGAGAGAAAGAATAATAATAATAATTTGCCAAATCATAAAGGACCTAATATCAGGTATCAATCTCATCAATTGGACATACAAGAGGCCTTTGTTTCAATTTCCAAAAAATAGAGAAGAAAAATAAAAAGAAAATGAGCATATCACATTATCATGAACCAATATGAAAATACTCTCACAAACAATCTGATGGACTACCAATAAAGGAAAACAGAGAAAATCGGCAGGGTCACAGCCAATACAGCATATTATTCCTTTTTAGTCCAAGTAGTTAATAGTTAGTTAGTTCAAGGGGTAAATTAGGGAATTGAGTCATGGGGGGAAATGCCAATAAATGAGATGGGGAGAGGGCTGTAGAATTCATCGAGAAAAGTAGAGTGTTAGGAGGAGAATTAGGCCTCATGAAGAGCCTGGGGGTGATATTTCCTTTTCCATCTTTTATTGAATAACATAATACAATTCTCAGTTTACATTCTTGATCCATTTAGCAACCACAATTAGGTACTTATCACAATCCTGACCCATTAGAATGCAGCAGCAAGAAGAGATGTAGTACATCAACATCGAAAACATCTAAGCTGGAGGAGAAGGTACACTCAGGTCAAGATAACTTCCACCATTGTCACCTTGCTAATTATTTAAGTTTGATGAAGCATTACATCATACGCATGAGAAAATGGAAAAGACCAGCACCTCAGAGAAGGTATACAATCAATTTTAAAGAAAATTCCAGCACCGTCTAAAAATTGCACAAGTGAACTTCAATAATAAACTGAAGACTTGATACACACATGTAACCAAAGACGATGGCAATTGATTTGAACACTGATTTGCATTGCAAAATATAGAAAAACTACAGTAATTCTGTTAATTTACATAAGAAAAGAGTTATCACCTTTGTCTTGAAATGGATGTTCTGACTCCCCCAAAGTCAAACAGTTTGTTGATTATTTAGTTTCTGGAAACGAGACTTTAAAAATATAATATCTCCTTGAAGTTAGCATAATTCTAACTTCACTCATTAAATTAAAATATAAGAACAAAATATTCAAGAAAAATCTGGTTGATTTTGAGAAAGTTAAGGGAGCTATTCTATTTACTAGTGATGGAATATATTGTAATATACCAGAAAGGAAAGGAAGCAAATCAGTATAATTCTTGGGTAGGCGAACTCATGATTTAAGATAGCTGTTCTGGTGAGATACCTTGATTGTGTTGAGGTCTGTTATGTCAAATTTTGCCTTCTTTAGGATTGCTCTCCGCATGTACTGGATTGCGAACTTAACCTAATATAACAGAAACAGAACTGTTAAATAGAGGTCAGGTCTAAAGTGAGAGTAAAAAACTTCTCAGTAAAAGGGATCATAACATATATGTTACATTACGAGGTTAACACAGATGCAGTATTTAAACATGAGAACCAGGTTTTACAAATTGATTAGCTTACAGTGAACTTGGGAAGTCGAACTTTGTAAGTATCCACCAGTTCCATCATCAAATCAACCAAATCTGAGAAGGGGCTGTCCAGAACCATTCCGGCGATGGAAGGATCCTCAGCTCCATACATCAGGCTGAAAGAAGCGCATTTTCAAATTATTTTCATGCAGTCATAAAAATAGTTGGCAAAGCTAAAATCTACACCTAAGTCATACATGAAACCATAAATTATTTATAACATAGACAAGTTATGTATGAACAGTAAGATATACCTATACAGATTGACAAGTTTCCCCTTTTCTATTCTTCTTTATGAAGGCAGTATAGAGAACACCAAGTGTATCGTCATGGTTATGGAACCCTTTTGCTTACAAGATATCACAACTCAAAAGATAATCTTCATGTGTATTAATATTATTATATTTTCGAAATAGAAGCCTTGAATTGCATTAGTCAATGTCGCCACGAACAGTGACGGGATACAAAGAGACATATAATGGTGCCAACTTGCCAACACTTGAACTGATATTGCAACTGATGCTACATATGGCCCACTTTGTTACAAGAATGCGATGTAAAATTATGACTCACAAAAGTAGTCCCGCATCAAAGAACAGATATCACACAAAACAAACTCCTGAGGGGTGAAGCAAAAATAACATAGAATTCAAATGTCACTGTTACTGTTCAGAAGCTGGTGTTGTCCTTGCTGATAAAATATAATAGTTATAATTAATTGACATGAATGTCGAACAAAACAGAGAAAAAGGGAAACGTATGTTTTTAAAAGCATCAAGCAATTGGAGGTACCAATTGCGAGCTTATTACTGGTTTATAGAAAAAGATAGAAATTAAATCTTTCAATATTTCTAGTCTTGGGATATGATTTCTATGGAAACTATACCTCCTGGAGTAAGGAGCTGCGAGGAGATGAAACAAACCTACTAACCTTGTAACAGCACCCATTGAGCGACCCCACAAACCAATCAAAGAGACATTCCCATCTGCCCGTAGATAATCAACCACTGCTCTTAGATCGTCCTTCTGCAAAATTAGACTGCATTTCCTCAGTAGAAAATAGTTACTAAATAGCATTAACGAGCAATGAAGATGAAGATGGTAACAGGTAATAGATTGCTGAGGTACATGGCATTTGATGGAAATTGGGCAAACAAAACCACAAAAACAAGTGCAAAATCGTAAGGATGTGATCCTCATTGTGTATCTTGATTAATTGGATCGTTTCTTTGTCGATTCCTATACCAAATATAAAATATTCAAGCAACAACAAAAAGAAGAAAGACTATTTACATTCTTTTTATTTTTTCTATTTGAATTTTCCTTTTGAATCAAATAGATTCATATCTGAAAGAGATTGACAATAAGTCCTTTCAAAATTGACTATTTGTCCCTCTGTTAGAAGTGTTACAAAAATGTCTGCAATAGAGTAAATAGTTCTACGAACGAATGGATCGTATCGACTTGCTTTTTTTTCCCGAAGGGATCGTGATGTCTTTCGACAGGATCGCAGGTCTCTTTATTAGTTCCTATTTGTGGTGCACAATTTCCTGGAAAAATGTAAATCCTGACATTCTAAAAGACATCACAACAGGCAAATAAACTAGTAATGACATTATTATTATTTTTTTTTTTGGAAAGGTAACTAGTAATGACATTTCAGCATAAATGGAACTATGTAAACAACTAATTTGAGTAATCTGGTCTGCTTTGTTCACGAAATTGCTTTACACCCCATAGATATCTTAATCCAGTGAATATGCATTGACATGAGCAAGCTCTTAGTAGTCTGAGAAATAGACTTCACTAGGTAAAAAGTTTGCATGCTTCATTTTATGTATATTTGCTCAAAAGATTAAGGTTCCACCCTGCATCTTGCATGTACAGAGGGACGGAGTGAGGGAAGGGAGGGAAGGAGAGACTCAGCTTATTACCTCGTTCCAGCCTAAAGTTACATGCTCTCCTCCAGAGAGTCCAGAACCGGAGAAATCAAGAGTGAAAACTGTTATATTTGAAGGCAACAATATAATAGCAGCTTCACTAGCATCTGCTCGGCAACCACTGACACATGATCAAGAAAAGAGATCATTAGTAAACGACTGAGGTAACTGAAGGTGGCGGAACAGGAGAAAGTGAAGTGTATCGCTTCAGTCCATACTATTTCAAGTGACCCACATCAGCCAGTAAATGAATTAGGTAAATTTCACAGGCCATATTTGAACCGCTAGTGTACAACAATACACTGTAATTATTATACCATTTATCGTGGATATAAGTTCAAAATTAGTACGAGAAGGCCAACAAAAAGAAGAAGGCATTAGACTATCAGAGCAAGTTTCTGCTTAAGACAACACTGACCTATTTCCATGGCAGTATATTACACAAGGAAGGGCACGTCCTTCAGGATGACCAATAGGCATATAATGGCTACATTGAAGAGTATCTCCTCGACCATTTACAACCTGCAGAATGAACAAAGCACTTATATATATGACCGAATTGCCATGATTGGAAAACACAAATCTCACCAAAAAAAAGAACAAAAGGAAAATCAAGCATCTAAAAAGTGATATCTGCAGTCTGAAAAAGCCAAAAAGGGGTAATAGAAACTATTTTATATAGTATATTGCGATCAATTTAGTCTTTGTGTCCAATTGTACCTTATGTGTAGATTTAAGAAACCATATCAGAATTGGTACGAGTTTTTATCTAGGAAAAAAAAAAAAAAGGTTAAGGTACTTAGCAGTATACATCCTCCGTCTATCAATAAATTTTACCCCAGGGGATTTGAGTGTTATTCAAAGTTCGCAATCTATCCTGAATGCATCTTACCTCCAAATCTTTCCTCTGGTACCACTTCCCTTTAAGCATAAATTCTTGATCTAATAAATCATTTTTCGGATCGTATTCAGCTCTGCAGTCAAGAAAAGAATAATAAAAATAATATACTCAAGCCCCATATTACCTTATCATAAAGCAGTGAACTGAAGATTAAAGGCTTTAGTGCAGTGCCTCTAATCGATTGAATAAACAATTTTTCGGTTTACGATTCAAAATCATGAAGCACAGAGTCATGCAAACTAAGTATGCAAAATGGTTTTGATGAGCAATTGCAACCATTGATATCACAAAAATATCATTTCAACTAAACAATATCAAGAATAACATGCAAAACAACATTTTAGCTCCTTCATGATGCAAAGTCAGCTATTTTTTTCCCTAATAAAACTATATTCCATACCCTGTGAATTTGATCTATCTGTTCTATCTTCTTGTCCGGTTGGACGAATCAGTGCCTCAATGCCAAAATTGAAATATTTACTAGAAGGATGAAGATCATCGTCAGCGACATAATGTGCAAGAACTTTCAATCCATTACGGTCTGATATACCTACAAAATGTACTATTGGTCTTTGACTTGGATTGTTTAAAGCTGGAAAAAGAGAGTTTGCACTTATGACAACTGATGTTTATATTTCACATTTTGTAGTAAAGTTTCCAACCTCACTAAGACTCATAAATGATGACAGAATTCAAAGTTAGAGAACTCAGATCTAAATAGCAATATAATTCACAATTAAATAGCTCAATGGTGTAGATGATATCCTATTTCAGATTGCAATAACCTAATTCAGAGTAAGAGCAATCTGTTTAACATGTTATAGAGTTACTCAAGAGAACATGGTAATAGTTGAGATCATAACCTAAATTGGGTTTGGAGGGTTCACGGTTCAAGTGAGGCCAAAGCCTAACATACGATCACAGAACTAAGGTTTAGGTAAGCATGTGACTGATCGCTTATGTAAATGTATTTGACCGATCAAGCTAGAAATCATTTTACGTAAGTACTGATACTCTTAGGATACAAAAATGCTTGACATTTCGCCTTAAATCTCCTAGTCGCTGCATTAAGAATAAGAATTTCACGATCTTCCTTTCTTAAAGGGAAGACTTGGGGAAATCTTATCGATTGCCAGTTTCTCCGGATGTCAGGTAAAATCATGTGCATAATAATCTTCAAGAGTAACCAGAACTGAAAAACTCTATTCTACGACTAAAACACGGTTTGTTCTTTGAAGACATGTAATTCATGAGGGGTTGGCATGATCCATGGCCTATCCTAAGATTTGGCAACTCCCTTGGAAGCTAGATACTCTTTCCAGCTTTCTATAAGTCTAATATAAAAGAAATCTTTCTGCAAGGTCCTACTTCACAGCAGTCCGAGTTAGCTATCATTATACATAGCACCCGACATGTTAATCTCCAAAAAAAAAAAACACAAAACGAGAAACTGGAAATTAATTATAGTGTTTAAATTCGTTTCATAGAAAATCCATTTAAACCTAAAAATCCCCTTACATCACAACCCTTTATAGAAACACCAAAAGCAATAAAAATTCAATCTAAATAAAAACATTCACCATTTACAATTAAGCTCCCAGCCATTCAGCAAAGATAGTTTATAATATACGAAAAGTTACAATAAATTAACCCTCAAATCAACGCCATATTCAACAAGAAAAACAACCCAAAACAACAGATTTCAAAAGGTAAAACTAAACACGCCAAAAGTATTTAAAAAAATCAGTTAATTGAAGACAAAATCTCCACTCCGCGACAAAACACTGAACACCAATCTGAGAATTTTGACAAAGATTCAAACTTTACAATATAAACGCGTATAAAATCATAAAAATCATATATACTTACGGAGTTAAAAACAACAAAAAGAATTGACTTTTTTCTTCACCTGGGTGGTCTTATGATGAAGCTAATAAGCTGTTCCATAAGAGATTTTAAATCAAGAATTTCTTCTTCTTCTTTTCCCTCTTTTCTCTGACTAAACAGCTTCTTTTATTTTCTTTTCTCCTTTCCTTGTATTTTATACAAATAAAAGTTTCAAGTTCTTCTGAGAAATGCAACCATACATATGCAAATAATTTGTTTGCTTTGGGAATGAAACAATTTGTTGATGAAAACTGTAAAGGAAATGAGAAGAAGCACCATGAGTAAAAGGAGAAAGAATAAAGTTGTGAACCGGTCCTCGTTATTTGTTTTTGTTGTTGGCAATGGGCTGTACATTTGCATTTCGTTTCTTGTAAAAATAAGGGGTATTATTATAATTGACCTGCTACTATTTATTTTTGATAAAATGTCTATTATACCCTTAATGAAATAATTTATCATATATTGCACAAGATATCCTTAATTTATTAGGATAGTTTTAAATTCTTCTATTTCTCTCATTTCGAGTTTTAATATATAATTTCATCCTTTGATCTAATAAATTAGCATAATCTGTAATATAATTGTCATGTAATTTACTAAGATTATTAAATTCCTTTGATAATATATCCATAATCTCTAATTGAGAATAAATATTTTTTATTTTTTCCATTAATCTATCTAACAGATTATCTAATCCTTTAATTGTATAACCTGGCATTATTCAAATAATTCCTTGCAAACTTTATGAATAATAACATATTTAGATAAGTTTTTTGCAAACATGAACAATAATAATCCCTACGATTCTTTCAAGATATTAGAAGAATTCTTTCTAAATTTAACAAAGACAATAATTTTACCTTACTTTTGATCTTAAATCTGTATTCTTAGAACCGAGTGACCTTCAGGCTCTGAATCTGCAAACTGCTCCCTTAAACGGCCTCTTGCCTCAATGGGAATTCTGCTATTTCAGCTTCTTGCCCTCACTGTATCTTTTCTTAAGAATAGAGATCTTAAGTAAAGAAAATTCTCTCTTTGTTAAAGTAAGAAAGAGATTATCTTCTTCAATCTATCAAGAATCTATGGGATAGTAAGTTTAGAAACTCATATCTTTCTGATATCAAAAGATTGAGATTTTTTTTTCTATAATGATTTATACAAGATTTATATTGTATACAAGGGGTTTCCAGAAAAACTGGTTTTGGAAAAAGCTTAAGGAAAGAGAATGGTTTCTAACTCGAGATGCCCCATTCTTTCCCAAAGACCTCTATTTATACATGACTCAAACTTACTATTATTGGTCTATTACATCATTGCATACATCAGAAATTTGAAAAAAGGCTCACATGCCTCTCTATTCTTTTCCTCCTGGGGTCTACATTTTCACATGCATTCTTTGAATTTTCA